CACGTCTTGTGGCATGATTACTCCAACCCTCTTTGATGTTGCAGCTATTGCCGGCCTTAGGCCGACTGGCCTTTCATTTCGTCCTGATTCTCACCCAAAAAATTTTGATGTTATCCCTAACTTTCAAAAACTCTCTTACCAACTCTTCATCACTTTGAATATGAATCAAGATGGCCCTGTCACTGATGAAGAATATGTCACTTTCCTTATGTTTTGGCTCTCATCATACGTTTTTTGCTTGAGATCTCTTCAAGTACCAAAAACCTTTCTCACTCTGGCTCAACTTTTGCACGAAGAATCCTCAATATGTCTAGGGAAGGTGATCTTAGGGAATTTATATAAAAAGTTGAATGAGGCAGTAGTTTCATTTAGGTATAATGACTTCCTTTCAGTCATTAGTGGTCCTTTTTGGCTACTTCAGCTTCGGCTAAATGCTATTTTTGAAGATAAGTTACAAAGCTCTAAACTACCTAACCTATATTAAGAAATAGAGGGGTTTCGTTTTACTTTTCTAACCATTGCTATTGCTAAAAAGCTTTATTGTAACACTTTTAGCTAGTATTTCAACTTCTTGAACCTTCATTCTTTTACTCCTCAACTTGCTCCTTTTTCAGCAAGAAAAATGGGGCCAATCTGGTTTAAATGCCATTTTCCCTCAAAAACTCCAATGCTCAAGCTGAGAGTTTGATAACTTGGAGGCAATTTTTTTCTTGTCAGTTGTTATTTTATAGTTTCACTCCTAGGCCATATCAGGTGGTAGCTTATCAGCCGAACTTGGTAGCTCAACAATTTGGTTTAAGCCAACTCAAACCTGTTCTCATGCTTCAAGGGACAAACCAACATGTCCTAGATAATGCTCAAAAGAGCATCGATGATTTGAACGAGGCCATAAATTTTTTTTAGAAAACGAAGGCTCGAGTTATCCTCGATAGAGTTCAAGCTTTCATACCATTGCACACAAGCTTTTCAACACTAGTGGTCTAGCTATTATCAAAAACCTGTCTTTTCTGTCGAGGAGTGCAATAAAGGATGACTTTTGTTTTTTCTGTATTTCAGAAGGGAGATCCAAAGGCCAAGATGAGAGGTACGTATATTTGAGAAATTCAATCTTTTAAACGTTTCTTTAAAGTGCTTTATTTACCTCGCAAAATATCTCAAACCATTTTTGAAGCTGCCATTTCTCTGAGGGAGAAAACGAGAGAGAGTAAATAGATATCGAGAATTTCACCGTTTTGAACAAGTTTTGGAAGAAACTCTTTACCAAAAATTTTGCCCTAGTTTTCCACTTTTACCAAACTGTGATTTTGCTTTAGCCTTGCTAATAATTTCTTCCAAATGGGTGGATTTACCCTCAACGTTTTTGAATGAGCTAGCTCTGCCTCGAAATAGAGTAACAACTACAAGATTTACTTTAAAAACTTATTTTCACCCCCTTCATCTCGATATTCCAGATGTGAGATGTCTTACAAAATTCAAAGATGGTAAGGTTTTGCTAATTTTTCTCGAGGCTTGTTTTATATTTTGGCCATTAATTTAATTTCGAGTTCTTTTTGTCTTGCAGCACTACCCACAAAACCCTTTATTGGTCAATATGACTAAGAGGATTGGGAGGAGGATAAACCCCCTAAGAAAAAGCAAAAATCTACTCGAAAAGGTCCTTCTTCATCCACGCCCCAGAAAGATTCTTCTTCGAGTACGCCCAGGCTACTTCCGGGGTTTCTAAGGTAAAGACTTGTATAATTCTTCTCAAAAAAGTTATTTCATTTATCTTTTCTCTAAGCTTCAGGTTAAGGCTTCCTCAAAAGCCAAGATTTCCACCAAATCCAAAGCTCATGGCGAAATGACTATTTCGACACCTATACAGCTGACACCTGATCAACTTTCTCATACATCTACTGAGGTAAATCTTGATGTGCTAATTTTTGAGTAATGAATATGTCCTTTTCGAGTGTTTAATCCTTTATTTATGGTAGGTTTCAACTGGCAACCCTCCAAGTGTCAACTTGCCACCCAGGGTTTAAAAAATGCCTAAAAAATGTTTGACCTTGATCCCTGAAGAGTCTTCAAAAACCTCGAGAAGGGAGTCTGAAGTAGCTCCTCAGGACTTAGCGCAGAGGGATGAAAAAACTGCTTCATCTTTGAGTTCTGGGACCTTAAGTTCTTCTTCAGCGAATAATACTTCGAGCTCAGCAAGCTCAAGCTCTGAAGATCATATCCAACCTGGTCAAGCCCCTTTGGTAAGGATTCTACTCGAAATATTTCTCTATACTCTGAGTTCTTTTCTAACTTTTCTTTTCTAGGTGCCTCTCACACCTTGACAAACATCACCTCCGGGCTCACCTGAGATTGATGTTGTTAATTATCAATCGGAAGAAGAGGCGCCTTTGCGTGAAGTTCCTCCGATTCCTGTTAAGAAAGGCTCTAGGATACTGAAAATCCTCCAATTTCTGTAGAGGGTCCCCTTGATTTTGATGTTGCTCCACTAGAAGCATTAATGATCTCGGAGATCAATTTGGATGATTTCAATGCCATGGTGGAGGATTATTCAGAAGGGGCCATCGATAAAATTTTGACTGGTACCTTCACATTTTTGTCATCGAGGACTTCTTTGGGATCGCACTCCAAAATCTCCAAGCCTATTGAGCCTACACGAAAATTACTTGAAGAGCTCAAGGCTTTAGTTTTCGAGACCAATTTCATGAATAATTTACCTACCCATAAGGTTTTGGTCTCAAAAGTTAAAGACCTATGAACATCGTTGAAACAACAAATCTCTCCATTTCCCAAAGGGCTTCAACACTTTGAAACTCTCTTTGTCGATTCCTTGGCCATCATGGATCAAATCTCGATGGTTGGTGTCCAAAAGGATAGAGAGCAAACGATTAAGGATTCAGCTCTTAAGAAATTGAAAGAAGCTCGAAATGGGCTGAGTAAACTTAAGGAGTCAACTGCGAATGCCGATTTGAAGAGAAAGGATGATTGACTTGGAAAAACAGCTCGAACGAGCTTGGAAAGAGGACGAGATGCTGGAGAAGGCCAGTAAGGCTTGTGAAAGGAAAAGACAAGTTCTCATTGAAAATGTGAAGACTATCATAGTGGAGAGGGCTCGAGCTATGAAGAACATTTCCAGTTTAGATGCTCAATGCACAACTCTCGAGACTAGATATTAGGGCTTGAGGGCTACATTTACTAAAATGCGCTCGAAGCCTCCATTTTAATTTTTTATACTTTGAATTTTTTTTAAATAGTTTGAATGTAATTACATAAATTCATTTACTAATGCACTTTATTTCCTTAGCTTCGTTTAAATTGACTTATTGGTCAAGCTTATCTTCTTTTACCGTGATCAAGTTATTTTAATTTCATGCACTTCTGGTCTGTATGGTTTTAAGTATTTACCGTTAATCGACATAACTCGACTATTAGTTCCTAATTCTTGAATTGAATACACGTTATTTGAAAACACATTTTCTATCTTGAACGGGACTTCTCAATTAGGAGACCATTTTCCAAACCTCCTTGATTTTTTGTTGAACGGTAAAATAACTTTCCATACTAAATCACCAACATTAAATAACTTGTATTGAACTTTTTTATTGTATGATCTCAAAATTCTTTCTTTTTGTCGAATCATTTTTTCTAAAGCACTTAAACGAATTTCTTTTAGATCATTTAATTTATCGAACATCAAGGCCCAATAATCGTCACTTGGTAACTCGAATTGCCGCTGTAACCTAACTGATTGCAGATTAACTTCAACTGGTCAGATAATTTTATGGCCATAAACTAATCGAAATGGAGTTACTCCTGTCGCCTCTTTTGAGAAATTTCTGTATGCCCATAATACTTGACTTAGGGTTTCATGTCAATTTCTTGGCTTTGACCCGATATGTTTCTTGATCAACTTGATCAAAATCTTATTTACTGCCTCTACTTGGCCGTTGGCTTGAGCATAATATGGTGTTGATGTTACCATTTTTATTTTCAATGCTTCGAGATATTGGGTTACTTTTCAACCAACAAAAATGGTCCCTTGATCTATTGTTAATGTTTCTAGTATTCCATATCGATGAATTATGAATTCTTCGATAAAATTAACGTCATTCTGAATAACTTCTCTCAGGGGATTGCCTCGGCCCATTTTGTAAAGTAATCTACGGCCACTAGGATAAATTATGAACAAGTTGTTGTAGCCTTCTTTGGTGGTCTCGGGGGTGGCGAACTGGTTGAAAACAACCTCTTCCCATGAAATTTAAATTATATTCACAACATGCAAATATAATTTAAATTTAATTAAGAAGCAAATGCAAAATAAACTTGTTCTATTGATGGGTAATAACAAACCTTGCGCAATTGTTTGGAGTTTCACCAGGGCGTAGAGTCATAAATGATAGATGTGGGGTGGTCAGATTTCTTCCTATTCATCAATTTAATTTCTCCCACACTAAAAACATTATGGTTCTCATTGTCCTCTTCTACAAATCCCATTTCGATTATGTCTGTTTTTTCATCTTTAATTGCAAATGATGGTAACTTAGAAGCTTTAATGCGCTCCCAATAGAGGTTTGACACTGAATATCGTCGATGATATCTCTGCTTGCCCATCATCGACAATCTTTTGAAGAACATCGTCAACTTGTCACCAAAGGCGATAAAAAATTAATTAAAGTAACAAATTTATTAACTTTGATTTTTAAGACTAAATTTTACTATATAAAAAAGATAAAATTTTTATTATATTAAGACTATTTCAAAATGTAAAAGCACAATAAATATTTTTTAATAAAATTAATATTATTAATTACTTAAAATTGATTTTTTCTACTAATTTTAAAAATTAAAATGACTGTTTTTTTTTTTCAGTTCAATTACAAATCGTTGTCGCGATTCCTTGCTTTTTTCTCAACTGCGAACAAAGTCTTCATCCTCTCGATTCATTTCGTTTCGGTATTCGCAAGGTAACGATGAAGTTGTAGGTGGAAACTCGAGGAACGATAACCATGGAGTGGACGACATTGCAGCACCTTGATCTGCGTCACGTTGGGCGTGGCGTCAGACCTCTGCAACCTCACGCTGCTACCTTCCATCCTCATCAGGCACTCGTTGCCGTCGCTATCGGAACCTACATTGTCGGTGAGTGACTGCACTTCACTTTCTTCTTCTCCACGTTTTTAGATTCCTTCGTTCACTCTGCTTATAAAATTTGGAAATGCCTAAATGCTGTGTTTAGATCATTACCGTATTGCGCTGTTTTGAAATTCGGTCATGATAATGAATGAGAACCAGAGGAATGTGTACGAGGCGTACGCTAGATCTTCTGCTGCATTCGCTCCGTTTGTACTTGCAATTTTTGTTTTATCTTCGTCGAACCGATTTCATACTTCCTGATCGATAAATTTCAGAAATTAAACCAAATCCTGTTCCTTGTTTGGATCGATTCCAAAATTGTAAGCTATTTCTAATTGCGGTGTTAAAAGTAAAATGAAGGTTGTGAGAATAATTGCACATTGTCCAATCTCAGACGCAGACTCGTGTTGTCTAATAATACTATTAAATTCTACGTAAGTATGAAATAAAATGGGATGTTTCAATAAAAAAAACAAAAACGACGAGTCAATAAATTTCACACGTGCATGCATGCATGCGTGTAACGTGTATCAGAACATTGTATATGAGGTAAATTTAAAAAGGCTATGGTTCGATTCCCGTGATTCAAGTTCAGGACCAAACTGTACAGTATACATTTACAGAATGAAACCAAACCACAGTTTGTTTTAGTTTAACAGGTCTTCTTAATTTGATTTCGTTTTTAAAACCCAGAGCTAAGTTATAAATTATTCTGTTCTCTATACACGAGAACAAACTTGTGAGAAGCAATGCAGCACAAGCATGGGCTATTGTCAATTTGTCATGATGGAAGGATTAGTTAGCTCATTCATAAATAAACCTAAAACAGCGATATCCAATTTGATCTTTTAGCTAGTCTTTACTGTTCACTAAAAAACCCATCCAGGATTAGATAGACACAGGTACATAACTTTGTAAACTACCATGACGGTAGTGCCTGGTAAATTTTGCTTGACTTACTCTTTAAGCTTTCATTTCTGAAGAAAAACAATCCTCAGGGTGTTGATCCATTTCATTTGAGCCCTCAGTTTCCTGCACCTAGCATTCATGGTTGACCGTATGTAGTAGACTTATGCCTTTTTCTGCTGCATTTATTTGCGTGTCGACATATTTTTGACGAATGTGTTACTAGTGGTTTGTTTCCATGTATGCAGAATTTGATGCATTAACAGGAAGCAAGATTTCCGCTCTTGACATTGGTGCACCAGTTGTGCGCATGTCATATAGTCCCACAAGTGGGCACACTGTAATTGCAATCCTCCAGGTTGACCTTTCCTGAACTTCTATTGTGTGTATGTCGATTTATTTATTTTGTTTATGGTAATTTTTTTTTCTGGTTCTTCAGTTCTCAATGGAACATGTGGACCTTTTTCTCCCTTAAGTAAACAGTTTCAGGAAACGAATTAGGAAATAATAATAAAATTTGCTTATCATTTTGGTGATAGGTGGTGTGCAAGATTTAACAACAAATTGACATAACGGGTTAATGCACGAGATGTGGGCTGCAATTTTTGGTTAATTTTCCTTTTTTTGTCCTTCTAAATAAGAAAAAAAATACGCTAGTTAAAAAAACTTTTTCCATTGTAATTCTTTTGATTGTAGAGTAACAGAGATGGCGTGATGAGAGATTTCAAGTTCTTAGGGTTTTTGGGAAGATAATTTACTAATTCATTTTTCTGTTGAATCATACCTTGATATTTAGTCCCTATCTCATTCTCTGTTCTGGGAGTCTCTTTATTGAAGGGAATATTTATGAGCTTGGTGTTATGTCTTCCTTTATACTTTTATTCTGCTGCTGTCATTCTTTAACATAAAAAGGTGCACTTGCATAAAAGATCCATTCTGGTGAATTTCTGTTTTGTTGGGTAAATCCCCTTTGTCAAAACTTATTCATTTCATTCTATTTTGTTTTCTGAATGTAATGTTGCTCAATCCTGTTCTTTATTAGCTTATATGTTGTGATTTGTGATTACAAAGTTCTTTTATACTTATTACAATGGTTGTTTTTCAATCTGTAGGATTGTACATTACGATCTTGTGATTTTGACTCAGAGCAAACATGTGTATTGCATTCACCAGAGAAGAGGACTGAGCAAATTTATTCTGATACAGAAGTTCATCTGGCATTGACCCCACTACAAACTATTGTGTTTTTTGGATTCCATAAACGGATGAGCGTGACAGGTTGGTTGTCTGGTTTCTCATCCGTGAAATAAAATGTGTTATTGTCAATGGTTTGATTACTAATCCCGATATTTGTGGTTTATACCTGCTTTTGCATAAATGAAGTTGTTGGAACTGTTGAAGGCGGTAGAGCACCCACAAAAATCAAAACAGACTTGAAGAAGCCTATTGTGAATCTTGCTTGTCATCCTCGCCTCCCCGTTCTGGTATGACTTCAATATATTTCTTTTCACCTTCGTAGGTTCATGCTAAACATATTTGTGCTGCAAGAAAGATTTAGTCTTCACTTCAGTCTTTCTTCTTATGTTACCTCAACATTTGTTGCTTTTCTGTCCAAGTATGTGGCTTATGCAGAAGGTTTGATTCGAGCGTATAATATTCACACCTATGCTGTTTTTTACACCCTACAACGTGAGATGATTCCTGACATATTCTATCCGTTGATGATGTGGTTTATAGTTCTCTTGAAAGTCACATCCTTAGTGTTATTTTCATTTTTGTCCAATTCAGTTGACAATACTATTAAGCTTAATGGAGCTGGTGCATTTGCATTTCACCCAACTCTAGAATGGATTTTTGTTGGCGATCGACGTGGTACACTATTGGCATGGGATGTATCAACTGAGAGACCTAGCATGATTGGAATGTGAGTAACAGTGGTTTGCCTATGGTTCAAATTTCCCCATTCTGTGACTGAGACGTTGTATCATGGTTATCTATTTTGAACTTGTTTTTTGCAGCCAATTGTTGGAAATATTTAAGTTGAGGCTTGTTATTTTGGTAACTCTTATTCTTGTCTTGGGCTCTGATGGTTATATTATTGCAATTTCAGTACACAAGTTGGCTCACAACCAATAACATCAGTTGCTTGGCTACCCACGTTGCGTTTACTTGTAACCCTATCAAGGGATGGAAATGTGCATGTTTGGAAAACACGGGTTATAGTTAATCCTAATAGACCTCCTATGCCGGCAAATTTTTTTGCGCCTGCTGGTTAGCTAACTTGACTCTTTCTGTCTCGACTCCAAATTTCATGTTGGTTTTTGATAGTTTGTTTCTCTTACGTTGATTGTCCGGCAAAATCTATGCTGCTACACTCCCCATCCCTTGTACAATGCTTTAACACATAGATAGATAGAGAAGAAACATACCAAGAGTTATCTTGCTTCACTCTTACTGTTCATTTCATTAAACTTGGTTGGCTAATACTTTCTACATTCGATGCAGCAATTGAATCAATTGATATCCCTCGCATCCTTTCTCAACAGGGTGGAGAAGCAGCGTATCCCTTGCCACGAATTAAAGCTTTAGAATTTCATCCAAAATCTAATTTGGCAGCACTCGTGTTTGCAGTTGCGTGCAACCTTTTATATTTAGACTGTTCTTGCTAGTAGTGAATATTGGATATACATAAATTTGTTGTTTTATTTTAACAGAACGTTACGGGTGGAGACACTTCAAAAAATAAAACCAGAAACAATAGAGAAAGGAGGAAGCAACTTTTTGCACTTCTACAAAATGCACGAGGATCATCAGGTGATTGATTTTTATTTAGCTAGAATCAGTGTAATGGGAATTCAGCACTTCATGATATTTCCTATTTCAGTTTGTGTTTCTAGTTTTGCAGCCTTACCACAATTATCAATCTCAATTAGTAGTGCATAACAGCCTACTCCAAATATGCTGTAGTGGGAGGCTTATTCTAAAATTTCAGATACAGATAAAATAATTTATACTATACACATATAAATGCTCAAAAATTAAAAATAATAATAATAATAATATAAAATTCATCACATATTCGTAGTTCATAATTAACAATAAAAAGTCATAGGGTCTTAAGCAAAGGATACAAGTAAATAACAACAAAATGAAGAAAACAAACAGCATGGCTGTAAATAGAAGAGGTCACAGTTGGAGGAAAAGGGGTGCAGTGATTGGAAAACTACTCAAGAAGAGAAACAGGGGGTGGCGCACTTCAGAGCTTGGAAAAGGTAGCTGTTTTTCGAAACAAAGGGTGGGAAACCAGTGAAAGCTGACGATTTCAGATAAAGTCTGAACCGGCGCAAAAGGAAGCTTTTGTTACCCATGGGCATCGGTGCCGCTGTAGCGTGCTATTGGCTGCGATGGCAAAATGCTTCACAATGGCTATTTTGTAGCAGCCAAGGGCCGCGCTGCTATTGTAGTCTGTAGTGCACAACAATAACTATATGCCATACTTCCATAAATCAATGTGATGCATGGTAAAATCTTGACTAAGCGTCAAACATTTTATTCCCTAAAATTTTAAAAGTGTCATTTTAGTTCCTGAAATTTTAGTTCATCACCGGGAACTACTCTTGCTAGCCACCATGTTTTAGGTCAAATTGTATTAGGGGTTTTATTGTAAAATCAGTAGAATAAGACTCATTCAAAAGTTAGTTAAAGTAGTTATTAGGAGGCTTGGGGGAGAATTATAGGAGAAGATAGTTGATGTTAATCCTATATAGGATATGCATGTATTGAGTGACGCATTGAGAAATACAGTGTTAATTGTTTTCTTCTCTCTATTCTGTTTTGGGTACGTGTGTAGAGGTGTGAGTATCCATCTAACATTGGTATCACAAAGCCGGAACGATGGTGACCACGAAGGAGTTAGAAACGTGCATGGACATCGTAGAGAAATCTATTCATGCTTCACAAGAAGAAACCAAGAAGACACTTTTGGAGTTACAACAATCAATTGCGGATCTCGTTTCAGCAGTTACAGCGCTGAATGGGGGCAGGAAACCGATATTAGAATTTGAAAGCCACGGAGCAACACCTGACAATCCTTCAATGGTGCTTGAACAGAACCCAGCTACAATTCCCCTAAACCCTAAACCCTAAATCCTAAGTCAGAACAGTTCTTTGAATTAGAGAAGATGCCGGAGGATCAACGCATTCATCTATTGTTGCTTTCAATGGACGGGAAGGCATTGGCATGGCAAAGACACTATATTCAAAGCTCCAATTTCAACACAAAAACATGGAGACAAATATTGGAAGATGCGGACAATCAGTTTGATAATGCTGGCTACGATGACCCAATTGCAGAATTGGCTCATTTAAAACAAGGTGGTTCTTTAGGAGATTATCTTGAAATGTTTGATCAACTTTTGGCTCGTGTGGTTATTGCAGAAGATATTGGCCTAAATTTCTTCCTTTCTGGATTGAAACCTGAGATTGAACATGCTGTCAGAATCCACAGACCATCAAATATCCAAGAAGGAATCCGTTTCGCACGTTTACAAGATGCAATATTGTAAGAACTTACGAAGAAAATATCCATGAGCAACAATTCTAACAGTGAAAGTCCTAGTCGTTATTCAAGATCTTGGTCTAGTACCAGTCTTCAATAGAAAAGTCCTATAATTACTAGTTTACCTCAGCAACAGTCTCAATCTTCTTTGCATATTGGTTCAACAGGGAACTCCAAGGTATCAAATCAATCAGCTCTGTCAAGAAAGGAAGTCAGTGACAGGATTTCCAAAGGTCTTTGTAGATTTTGTAGAGAAAAGTGGGATAGAAACCATAAACAGAAGTGTAAAGTTTGGGGCAAATTAAATGCGATATTTGCTGCTCAGGAACATCCAGAAGCTGTAGACTCAGATGCTGTTTGTCCTGAAGATAGGGAAATGTTGGAGCACTGTATTGAAATGGCAGAAAATTCGAATGTGCAAATCTCACTCAATGCTTTACAAGGAATCACGGGTGGAACCATATTGCAGTTGAAAGGTGTCATTAAGAAGCAAGAGGTCCCATTTTTAATGGATACGGGTAGCACACACAATTTCATTAGTGAGATTTGGGTTAAAAGATTGGGAATCGAGACAACTCACATAAGGGATTTTCCAGTGATGGTAGCCTCTGATAAAAAGTTGATCATTTCAAGGAGATGCCTTCAGTTACAGTGGAAATTTGATAACCATTCATTTGTGGCTGATTTTTTGGTATTGCCTAGTACTAGTTTTGGAGTCATTCTTGGCATGGAATGGTTTCAGACACTGGGAGAAATATCTTGGAATTGTGCATAGCTTACTATGAAATTCTCATACTTTGATGACTTAATATGTTTGCAAGGTGAAAAACTTAGGAAGGATATGGAAGCCTCATCTGGTAAACTTAAGATTCTGCAAGGACAGTCAGTGTTCCTTGCCACTCAAGATGCTGCATGTTGTGTATTGTCCACTTCACTCAATGCACCAGAATTGTTGACAAGTCAGACAATGGAGTTGCAAATTCTATTAAAAAAATATAATTACACATCAATCATGCCTAATTACTATATTTACATATCAACAATTCTTATTGTTGGTTCAATAGTCTCTTATTTGAATTTTATGTCATTATATGTTTTGTTATTAAGAGTTTTTATTAGCTAAGAGTTTTTCTTGGAGTCTTTTCCCAAGGGATTTGCAACATGGCCTAAGGAAAAGCTTCCTATTTCAAGCTCCAAATCTAAAACATCAATGATGCATAAATCTGAATACAAGTATACAAGTTCTTGAAATCTTCTTGTAAGAGTATCTCCTCTGCCCATGCGTGGGGTATAGTTATTGTCACTGCATGTTAGGATGGAAGGATAAAATCATTCCACAATTACAGGTTACCTATGCCTGTTTGAAATGAAGTGATTTTTCCTAGGTTGAAGAATGTTGTCAAAATTCATTACTTTTCTTGGACATGTCCTTAGAGAATTACATGCTTGTGGAGATTCAAGAGTGATGTTGGAATAAAGCAAGTTGAAGTAAAAACCTTAAGCAAACATTTGTAGTTTTGATGAGTCATGAACTTCGGCTTTTGAAGAATGAAGAAAAAGAAGGATAAATAGATGAAAAGTTTTAAGAATCAAAGACTAAAATGTTTGTTGGTGACAATTTTAAAGACTAAAATGTATAGTGAATGATAATCTCAAAGACTAAAATGTCTAATGAATGAGACTCTCAAAGACTAAAATGAAATGAAAATATATATCATACCACATATGACATTGTTTTTGCCATGTAATCATTCATATATTTTACTTAACGTGACATATCAATATTTTGTTACGTCTATTATTGGTGTCTAGGTCTATGGACTAAAATGCATGACGGAGATGAAAGTTAAGGACTATCATGATATTTTTAAAATTTCAAGAACTAAATGCTAAATGCATACTATTTCAGGAACTAAAATGAGGATTTAGTCTAAAATCTTCTCAGTTTTCATGTTATTTTTCATGGGACACTATATTTACTAAAGCCCATTGTTGTCCTATGAGGTAAATATTACTTTAGATCTTCCTCCCCTTTTTGTGGATAAATTGGATAATATACCATCCAATGTCTTCTCTTTTTTGTACTTATTGCGCTGCCACTTATGTTTTGTAGTCGCTATTTCATGTTGCATCTATCATTTTATTGCTTCTATTAGTGTCGTAAATATCATATTTGCATAATATTTGCTACTTTTATCTAGCTCTTTAAGGAGATATGTGCTAATGGTAGACATCCTATGCAGCATCTGTTTTAAAAGAAAAATTATCAGCCTTGGGTTCATCTGGAGTGTTAGCAGACCATCAGCTTCAAGCTCAGTTACAAGAACATCGTTTGAAAGGGTGAGTTGAAATTTGCGGTTGGGTAGAGGGAAATATAACTGGAATTTTATGGAAAGACTGATGGTTAGAATCGTTGTGTAAATTATATTATGCTTTTGTGACTCTTAATCTCCTACCATTCCTGCTTTGAGTTTTTAGTCTTGAATCTTGATTGGGAATTACTTCCTTATATTTCAATTATGAAGTTGCACTTGACATCTATACCTGCACTTTGGATTTAGTAGCATCAGTTGATAGAATTGGAAACTAGAGAGATAGAGACCAAAGAGCAGAACATTATTGAACAACAGAATAGAAACTGGAGAATAGGATTACCTCCCTGGTGTCTCCCTTTTGCAAAGGATCTCTCCTTTCATATATTCAATCTATCAAATTCACAGAATGCTCTACCCGAATCTGATTTCCCCTATTTATAACCAATCTCTTCTAAATAACTTACTAGCTAGACCATCTAACTAACTAATGAAATAACCGACTATTAGTTGTTCTTATTCACTCTCATTATAGATGAAATTCCTCCTTGCCCTCAAGGTAGAATCAGGAAGTCTCATAGTATACCATTTCTTGCTATTAAGCTCTGAACCACACATCTCTCCCTTGAATCTTGATAGTCTCCTCATTCTCAGCCACTTGTTAATCTTATGCCAAGATAATGATCCAAACCATCCACACTTTTTCTAGGCATTTGTACATGGGACTAAATAGTTGGCCAACTTAAAACATCTCTTTTCCTCCTGTCTTTTGAGATACTTCTTGTAAGGAAGTTGTCTTCTCCCTTTGTTTCTTGACAGAGTGGTGTTAGCAGTGCTGGATCTTGATGTTGATTGAGATACTGTCTTTCTCCTTTTACACTCCTATCTACATGGTGGGTTGAGCTTAGAGTTGTATTCTATGGCCTTGATAACTCTTGCTTTTGAGCTGGGCTTGGAGAATCTACTGATTTGGGGGACCTTGAGTGAAACAGTACTTCTGTTTGAGATTTGTAGCTATTCAAATTGCTTTGCAACTCTCCAATTTTGACTCTTTTCTCCTGTAATTTGTTATCCCGTACCTGCAATTAGTGACATTTCATAATTATGTTAGGTCATTGTTGACAATCTCCTCTCTTCCTTGCAGCCACAATCATCTTACAATATCAGACATTGCCCGGAAGGCTTTTCTTTACAGCGTATATTTCTCTCTTTTTTGGTTCTTTCTTATGGGCCCAAATGATGAAATGGCTTAGATGTGACTCTGAAGTTTGACTGACAAATTTGATGGCTCAAATTTCCTTATGATCCTACACTTAATCTCCTATGAAATCTTTTGAAAAGCCCTTTGTTCTTTGACTCAAATTTGTACTTGGTGCATTTTACTTGTAGCATTTTATTGAGGGCCACACAAAAAGTGCTCCAATATCCCGCTTGCCCCTCATCACTGTTCTAGATACCAAGCATCATCTGAGAGACATTCCAGTTTTACAGGCAAGATTCCTGTGACAATTTGATTTTGAGATTGATTTATGTTCCTTACACATTTCTTTTTAATCAATTGATACTATTTTGCACTATCAGCCATTTCATTTGGAGCTAAATTTCTTCAACAAAGAGAACCGAGTTCTACATTATCCCATCAGGGCTTTCTATGTGGATGGACCAAATCTTATGGCCTATAATCTCTCATCTGGATCTGAGGGTATCTACAAGAAGCTTTATAATTCGGTAATGTAGAGAGAATAGTAAGTTTGATGAGTATTATGTTGTCTCTCTGAAATCTATCGATATTAATCATATTATCATTTGCACAATACTGCTATGTTATCACTTCTTTTATTTTTCGACTGAAAACTGTGTCTATATTTAACCTTCTGATGTTCAGCAATTTTGTATAGATTCCTGGGAGTGTGGAGTATCAAGTAAAATTATTGATTTACAGTAAAAAGCAACACCTATTTATTGTAATCTATGATTTTGTTGGTACTACAAATGAAGTTGTACTCTACTGGGAAAATACTGATACAGTGACATCAAACAGCAAAAGCACCACAGTGAAAGGTATTTATATGCGTGGAATACATATATTTTCTCTTTCTGCCAAAGTTTGGTCATGTGTAATGTGCTATAAATCATTCAAGTAATTGTCTACAGGTCAAGATGCAGCATTTATTGGTCCCAATGAAAATCAGTTTGCTATTCTTGATGATGACAAGACAGGGTTGGCAGTATATATGCTACCAGGAGGGGCCTTACAAGAAGCTAAGGATAATGAGAAACAACTTTTTGAAGAAAATCAACCTACAGAAGCTAGTGTTGGATCAATTCGTGGCCCAACACCATTTATGTTTGAAACTGAAGTTGATCGTATCTTTTCTACTCCTTTAGGTGCTTGAATACATTCATATTTACATAGTCATGATATGTTTTAGTGTGTGTGAGGGCATGGGATCCGTTGATACTAGTGTAAATTAGATCCATCTTACCCAATAAATTAACCTTTTATAGGGGATGTAATTCTCACAAATTCACCACGGGATTAAACTTTGTATTATATGCAATCATGCACATAAAATTTAATATTAGAGACCTTTTTTACTCCATTAAAAGTTTGTAAGATATTTGTATACTGTACTTTTCAAATAAATTGAAATATTTACCATTTTTATGTAAAAAAAAAAAAACTTGTTTAAGTTTTTTGAAATTTAGCTTGCAAGATTTACATAATTATTAGAAAATTGAGCATAACTCACTCCTAAAAATTTAGCTAATAAGAAGAGGGTTACTCAAGCTTTATAAGAAGTATTCTTATTGTATTCTTAAGATATCTTAACACATTTCTGTCACACCCTTGATTAAACATTTGATGCATAAAGTTTGCAAGACTGAACATCTATGGGTGACCCAATATTCAAAGTGAATAAGCTTTGATACTATATTAAAACATTAGATCTAACTTACTCTCAAAAGTTAACTCAAAGAAGGGTTACTTAAACCTTATAAGGAGTATTTTGACTCGATTCTTAACTGATTTGGGACATCTTAACAATATGTTCACTTGTATTTCAATGGTCAGTTTGGTCAAAATAAATATCTAGAAGAAATCATTGAGCATGAGTATATCAAGTCTTAAACTAGTGTTAGTTGATGCTCACCCTTACACACCGATACACACATTTTTACATGCTTACCAATAGTTTATTAGTAGCATAAAGTGTTGATTTTATTTTTTCTGTTTTTAGATTCAACTTTGATGTTTGCTTCTCATGGGAATCAAATTGCATTAGTAAAGCTCATACAAGGGTACCGCCTTTCAACTTCATGTTCCAACGGCCATTATTTATCAACTAAGAGTGAGGGGAAAAAGTCAATCAAGTTGAAAAGAAATGAGATTGTACTTCAGGTATCATTCAGCATGATTATTGAATTATGAATTTATGACTTAACTAGTAGTGGTCCACACCTGCTGTGTGCAATTAAGTAGAAAGAAAAGGTAGAGATTAGAGTGAGTAAACCAAAAAGAAGAAAATGGAGAGAAATGGAAGTGTGGTTGTTTAAAATTGATTTTTCTAAAAAAAGTATTTTATAACCATATAATTTAGATTAAATATTTCTTTAGTCCCTCATAAGTATAAATTTGTCACTTTTGTCCCTCATAGGTACTGTTAGTCAATTTTGCTTCTTAAGCTCTAAATTTTGTAGGCTCCTTTCTTACTTCTTGTGGAGGTGAAATTAACCAGAATCACAACCTCTAGTAAAACAGAATTGATCAGACTTGGCCTTGTCAGTATAAGCAGTCTAGTAGTCTACTTAAGCAACTTCAATTAACACAGTCACTGTAAGATTGAAGGAGGGCCTGAATTGTTGGTGATTGTGAGGGACAAAAGATAAAAGAATTGTATTATGCACTGTCATTGTCAGTGCTACTCCTATGTTAAATTGCTATGGATCTCTCATGTTCTGAAGCCGATTATGGGTGGACTAACAATGTCAAAACCTATACCACATTAACATTTTCATAGGTAGAATTTAAATTCTAGACCTCTGCCACTGTTCAGAAGCCTCCCCAAAATTGTATAGAGGAATAGGTGTGTAGGCTGGTTTGCATTATTATGTATTAAGTCATTGCATGTATGTTTATTTAGGTAATTTGTTGCCTCTGTTCGGAGATTTTTCCCTCATCCTGTAGGTTGTTACAACCAAAGGCCTTTTCTAATCACTTACAAAGAAAACTGAGGGCCTCTGTAGAGCCTTGCCACCATTTGGTAAAGGTCATTACTCGTTAGTTCTAGGATTCCTTGTTTGTGGAAATAATATCTCAAATGATATTCTATTATGGTTCAACTTGGTAACAAATCCATGTTTGTTCAAATTTGGCAGGTGCACTGGCAAGAGACTCTTAGGGGTCACGTTGCAGGAATTTTAACAACACAGAGAGTTCTTATTGTTTCAGCAGCACTTGATATACTTGCTGGCACTACAACAAATTTTGACAAGGGGCTTCCTTCAATATCCATATTTTAAAAAAAATTAAATCAAGGAACTATTTATTCATATTAAGGATGTGCTTGATTGATTGGGTGGAAATTTTGGAAGAAAAATGAGGTGGAACCTAAATAGTACTCATTTATACTTGAAGCCATAACTTTGGTTGAAAATAATGTTCACTCTGTTCTCTCTTTCTACCTTCCCACTTTTCACCTAAGCCGAGCAGACCATAAATTTCGTGTGTCGCTTGAATATATTCTTGTTTTTAAAAACCTTTGTTAGAAATGTAATGTTAAACTATGCATGCTTCTTCACCTAACAGCTTAAGCTAAAGGTATTGTTGTTTCTGATATAGTATCTAAGCCTCTATGACTAATGATCTAAAGTTCGATCCTTGCCACCCCCATTCTGATAATAAAAAAGGTTTAATTTCAGCACAAGGTAGTTGGGCTAAGCCTAAAAGGACTTAATTGTACTTTTAGTCTATTTTTAGTATGTACAATTTTAGACTCTAAACTTTTTTTTTTTTTGCTAATAGACTCTTTAACTTTAATTGCTCACATTTAGCCTCTCTAATTCTTCAAATATTATTAAGTCCTACACCCTAGATTAAGACTTTTATTATATTTTATACACCTTATTTTGTATTTTTATTTAAATATTTTGTCTTTATTTATTTGTATAAATCAATGATGGGTCGTACTTCCATTATGTTTTTATTAATTATTAGATAAAATTTTGGGATCAAAGACTTAAATATAAACATTTTAAAAACTAGAAAACCTAAATATGAGTAATTAAAACAAGGACCAAAATTTCACATATATTAAAATATAGTCTCTCAAAGTGTAATTAAGCCTAATATAAAACTATTCATGTTTCTTCAACTAACAACTTAAACTTTTGAGATTGTTGGTTCACAACAACCTTAACTGATGCGTACTTTAGATCACTCTTATGGGTTGGGCCTGCTCTCCTTTTTTCTACTGCCACTGCAATCAGTATACTTGGCTGGGATGGAAAAGTGAGGACTATACTGTCAATTAGTATGACATATGCAGGTAATTGTCTTACTGCTTGCTGGTATATTGCAGTATATTAGCCATCTATTTTGTCAATTATTATGCTGGTTTTTTTTTGTTTTTGGTGTTGTATTGTCCTACTTATGTATTTTTATAAATTCCTTAAGCAGTCTTGGTTGGTGCTTTGAATGATCGATTGTTGCTTGCTAGCACTACGGAAATAAATCCCAGACAGAATAAGGGATTTGAGGTCAAAAGCTGTCTTGTTGGTCTTCTCGAGCCTCTTCTTATTGGATTTGCCACAATGCAGCAAAGTTTTGAGCAGAAGCTTGACCTGTCAGAAATACTGTACCAAATAACATCAAGGTTTCCTTCTACATTACCTATGAATCATGACCTCCTTTTAGAAAAACCTACCTCCTTGCTACTATACAGGGTTGACAATTTTAGACTTCAAGTCCTTTTTCACATTTCTTTATCTATGTTAAAGCTGGTAACAATTGACACATTAAATTCTTATTTGAATGAAGGTTTGACAGCTTGCGCATAACACCGAGGTCTCTGGACATCCTTGCTAGAGGTTCTCCTGTTTGTGGAGATTTAGCTGTGTCATTATCTCAATCAGGTCCACAGTTCACCCAGGTAAGTGATAGAATTCTTTGTCTTGGCTTTTAGTTATAGTCTATCTATCTTCTAAGGATGCTGAGTTTTTTACATCAGGTGATGCGGGGTGTCTATGCTGTGAAAGCTCTTCACTTTTCCAATGCTTTATCTGTTTTGAAAGATGAATTTCTCCGTTCAAGAGATTATCCACAATGTCCTCCTACATCTCATTTATTTCATGGGTTCAGGCAGTTGGGTTATGCCTGTATCAGGTTGGTAGTGGGAACTCAGAAACTTCAAAGTTCTTATTATGCTGCCATTGTATCCAAAGGAACTACTGAAAATTGATGATTGTGTGTTCTATCATTATTAATGTACTTGAATTATTATTTGTTATTATTGGTACGGTTTTATTATCCCAGCCATTAGCTAAGCTATTATATACCTAAACTTCTGTGTTGTATATGAAAGCTGTAGATTTTTCATTAGTATTAGTATTATCTTTTTAGTGGCTGTTGCATTTCATCAATTAGATAAGTTAATGAATCTGGGCTATTCTTGTGTGAAGTAAGAATGCAAGAATAAAATGAACTAGAGTTACTTGTTATATAGGATTGACTAGCACCTTAGCATGTTGAAAGGAGCCAGTTAATCTATTTTCTATAATTATCAAATGAATTCTCAGAGCATGTGGAGGTCACTTTCAAAAATATTATCTTCAAGGAAACATGGTAGACCTCCTATGATGGGTATGATAATTTAAAATAGAGGGTTTATATGCTAGTATAATTTCTATATGCTTGATGGTACTCAATGTTGGGTGGTAAAGAGTTATAAGAACACAAGCTTAGTGTTGCAGAGATGACTTGTTGCAACAGATGAGTGAACATACAAGCCAAGATAGGATTAGGAATGAATGTTAAAGACAAAGTAGGGGCAGAACTAAATGAGAAAATGATGATAGAATCCAGCTAATGTGAGAAGAAGACCACTAGAAGCCTGATAAGAGTGGACCAGGTGGAGGATAGCCCCATCATTAATTGCATCGGAGATGATGAAAAACCCCAGATAAAATTCATTAAAAAGGACATCTAAAACTTTGTAAGAATTTGGTTCATGACAAAACATATTGGTGACGTTTAATCCATGTAGCTTATCTAACTTAGTAGGAAAAGGCCAAGAATGCTTTGGTGGTTGTTCTATGATTTTTATTAACTTATCTATCTAGCAAAATTTGTTTTACCTTTTCGTTATTTAACATCTCCTGTTCAAATTAGCTTTGGGCTCTGCTTGTTTATGTTTTAATAATTCTGATCTTTTATAATTCTGGTCTAAGTAAAGATCAGTATTAGTTTCTTATTGTTGATTTATAGCACCATCAATATTAACTTCGACATGCATGCGTCTGTTAACATCGACCTATGGTTTGAGGTTGTTGAAATTATAGAGTTTTGGAAGGGAAGAGGTTAGAGGATAGAGAGGGAGGGAGGGAGAGAACTGTGAATAATATACTAAATAATTGATAGATAGTTTCAATCCCTTATCCTAACATTCTCCTATTTATACTAATAACTAGGTCAAAGTACTTGTACTGCTAGTACAAGGCCAATCCCACCAGCAGTAGTTTGAAATTACTCATACAATTGATGAGATGATGTATAGATGGTACTCTAGTTCTTTGAATAGAGTGATTTAAAAGTTTGTCACTTTTGTAATTTAAGATTACCTGCAGGTTTGGTCAGTTTGATGGAGCAAAAGAAACTTTTGAAGTTATTGCAGATTATGAAAGCATGCTTGATCTGTTTATATGCCACCTTAATCCTAGTGCCATGAGGCGTCTTGCTCAGAAGTTGGAAGAAGAAGCTCTTGGCTCAGAATTGAGGCGACATTGTGAAAGGATTTTACGGGTTCGATCTACTGGATGGACACAAGGCATATTTGCCAACTTTGCTGCAGAAAGTATGATTCCTAAAGGACCTGAATGGGGTGGAGGAAACTGGCAAATCAAAACCCCTACTAATGCAAAGGATATACCTAAGTGGGAGCTTGCTGCAGAGGTGACACCATACATGAAGACTGATGATGGTACTATTCCATCCATTATTGTCGATCATATTGGTGTGTATTTAGGCTCAATTAAAGGACGAGGCAATGTTGTTGAGGTAAAGGAAGATAGTTTGGTTAAGGCCTTCATCCCAGGAGGTAATGATATCAAAGCAAATGGTCTTGAACTATCTTCAGCTAAATCCATATATAATCAACAGGTTGATAATTCCCGAGGTGATTCATTAATGCGTCTGGAAGGTCTTAACAAACAATTTGCCTGGTCCTCTACTGATGAACAGGCTAAAGCAGCAGAAGAATTTAAGAAATCCATGTATGGAGCTGCTGATGATGATAGCAGTAGTGATGAGGAAGGAGTATCAAAAACTAAAAAGATACATGTTAGAATACGAGACAAGCCAATTGCCTCTTCTACTGTGGATGTGAATAAGATTAAAGAAGCCGCTAGTAAATTTAAACTAGCTGAAGGGTTAGCTCCATCAAGGAGCAGATCATTTAACAGTGGGTCTCAAGATCTTGGCCAGATTTTGTCTCTGCCACCTGCTCCTACTGGAATAGCTGGTCCTACTGTTTCAACTCCTGGTGACCTGTTTGGTACAGATGCCTTGACTCAGCCAGAATCAATTTCACAGCCAACTGCTGGGGTTGTAAGTGGGGGAGTTAAAGCAGGACCTATTCCAGAAGACTTCTTTCAGAATACAATTCCATCTCTTCAGGTTGCTTCTTCACTGGCTCCTCCTGGGACATATCTCTCTAAATTTAGTGCAGGGGTTCAAAGTGGCAAGGCAGCTCCTGACCAGATTAGTGCTTCTGATGATGATGTTGGTCTTCAAGGTAATGTTCCTCCTCAAGCTGTTCAACAACCTGTGATTCCCACTGAGTCCGTTGGACTTCCTGATGGTGGTGTCCCTGCACAATCCTTAGCCCAGGCTACAGTCATGCCCCCATCACAGCTGCTGGCACCAATTTCTAGCCAACCTCTTGATCTTAGTGTACTTGGAGTCCCAGATTCTTCTGATTCAGGAAAGCCTCCTCAAACCAGTTCTCTGCCATCTTCTGTACGACCTGGACAGGTATAATAAATTAATACATGCATGCCTATCCATTTACATGTTTAATGAGTAATGCTTTCTAGCCAGAGTATTAAATATATTTTGTGCTATTTCTTTTTTTGAGGTTCTATGGTATTTTCCATGGGTATTAGGAGAAAATATGGGAAGACATGCAAGAATTAGATCTACTGGATTAACTGGGCATCTAGTATATACAGGGAGTATACAGAGAGGAATACTATTTGTTAGAACTAAAAGAAATTTAGAAAACTATGAACTTGAAAGCTGAAACTCACATTTTTATTCATACTAACAACCTTTAAATACAAGAAAGTCATAACTTAAAATTGATTCTAATTCTACTCATTAATCTGAAAATAAATCACAAATAAAACTATCCATAAACGTGTAACGTCCCATTAACACTTATAATTTTTATAGTCATAACTCATAAAGTTGGAATAAACATTAATAATACATACTAATTCAAATTCTCAACACTCCTCCTTGCATCAATAGCTATTGATTCCAAGTTTCTTTCTCAAGTTTTGGAACTGTCCTTTTGGAAGTGCCTTTGTGAAGATGTCTTCAAATTGGTCTTCTATCTTGCAATATTCCAATAAAACTTCACCTTCTTTATGAACTTCTCTAAGAAAATACACCTTGATATTGAAGTGTTTTATTCTTCCCATGAAAAACAAAATTATTAGAAATGGCAATTGCTGCTTGATTATCTACAAACACTTTAGTTGAATCTGTTTAAACTACTGGTAGATCAATTAGAATTTTCCTCAGCTATAAGGCTTGATTAATAGTTATAGTAGCAGCTATAAACTTTGCTTCAGCAGTTGATTGTACCACAGTATCTTACTTCTTTGAGACTCAAGAAAACCAGAACCAAATGTAAAGCAATAACCATAAGTGCTTTTCATTTCATCCAATGAACCTACCCAATCACTATTAAAAAACTCATGAAGATTAAATTCTTGATTATGCTTGAACCAAACTCCATACCCAAGAGTTCCTTTGACATATCTCAATACATGTTTAGTAGCTTAAGATGCACTTCACTTGCACAATGTAAGAATTTAGAAAGAACACTTACAACTTACAAAATACTAGGTCTTGTTGCTGAAAGATACATGAGACAATCGACAAGACTTCTAAAATACTAGCTCTAACTTTTGAAACATTGGAGCACTCATAGGCTTAAAGCTCTCCATTTGAAACTTCTTGAAAATTTCTTTTGCATAGTTCTTCGAACTAATAAAAATTCCTTTCTTATCTTGTTTGACTTTTATGCCAAGAAAGAAAGAAACTTCTCCACAGTTTGTCATCTCAAAGATTTTCATCATATTTTGCTTGAACTCTTCAACAAATGCAGTATTGCTTCCTATCACTAATAGAGATTCACATACAAAGAAACAATTAGAATCTTAGAATTCAAGCATTGCAAATAAAGAGTTGACTCACTGAGACTTTTTGTGAAACCATTACTCAACAAGTACTCATCAATCCTACTATACCAAGGTCTTGGAGCTTGCTTTAAATCATACAAGTCCTTCTTTAGCAAATAGACCTTGTCTTCTTGTCGTGTAAGTGCAAAGCCTTTACGCTGCCCAACATATATCTCCTCCTGCAAAAATAATCATTGAGAAAAGCAAATTTTACATCCTTAAGCATATCCCTTCATTACAAGTCTGGCTTTGTGCTTGTTAATGGAACCATTTGCGTTGTGTTTGATAAACACCCATTTAACACCATTAACATTTTTGTGTTGAGGTCTAGGAACCAATTCCCAAGTGTGGTTCTTAATCATTTTAAGCTCCTCCTAGACTGCAACAATCCACTTTGGATCTTTTTTAGCTTTCAAAAAAACTGCAAGTTCTAACATAGCAACATTACATTTTTAGTAAATTTCAGACAGTAATCTGGCTCCTCTTACAGATGGATCATCACCATAGAAAATCTTCATCTTTAAAAGAAAAACTAAGAACTTGCTTCCATTCATCTTTCTCCCAGTTCCATTGTTTATCTTTAGCAAAATAAACATCTTTGCTTATTAGAATCTTACCAATTTGTGGTTGGAAAATTCTATAAGCTTTTGAAGTTGTGCTATAGCCAATGAAAATTCCTGCTTCTATCTTTTTATCTAACTTATCTCTTTTCACTTTTGGCACATAAGTAAAACAAATACATCCAAAGACTTTAAGGTTTTGAATAAAAGGTTTATAGCCATACCATGCTTCATAAGGAGTTTTTCCTTGCTCTGCTTTTGTTGGAAACCTGTCTAATAGAAGCACTGCAATATTTGCAGCTTCAACCCATAACTTCTTTAGAAGTCTTTTCTCATGCATCATGCTAGCCATCTCTATTATTGTTCTATTCTTCCTTTAACTCACTCCATTTTGTTGTGGAGTGTAAGGAGTAGTAAGTTGGTGCTTAATCCCAATCTTTTCACAGAAGAAATTAAATTGCTCGGAGGTGTACTCTTTTCCATTATCAGACCTTAGAAACTAAATTTTACCGTCAACTTGATTTTCAATCCAAGTCTTGAACCTCCACAACACTCGTGCAACTTTAGATTTGAATCTCAAGAAATAAATCCAGCACATTCTTGTAAAATTATCAATAAAGGCAATATAATATCTACTCTCTTGTAAAGGCAATCCGGGTTGAGGTCCTCCAAGGTCTGTATGAATCAATTGGAGTTTTTGCGAAGCTGTCTATCTTGCTTGTGGAAATGGCAGCCTAGTATGCTTCCCATATTGGCACGCACTACAGCTACTTAAGTGATCTTCCAATGATGGCAAGCCATTCACAATATTGTGCTTCTTCATGTTCAGTAATGCAGCATGGTTGAAATGACCCATTCTATTATGCCAAAGTTCAGTGACATTAATTGAACTTGAAACAGCAGCATGCACTTCCTCCATCAGATCTAAAAAGAAGTTTTTTCCTTTCATTTTGACCTTAAACAAATCTTGCCCACTTGCATCTTTGATCAAACACATTTTGTATTCAAAAAAGACGTTGTAGCCTTTTTCAAGCAACTGGACAACACTCAACAAATTTTGACTAATATCAGGTACATAAAGCACATAAGTGATTATATTTTAACTTGAGAAACCTTCAATTGCAATAGTGCTCTTTCCTTTTACAGCTATGCACTCTCCATTGCCAATTATAACTTTTGAAATTGTGGTCCAGTCCAACTCTTTGAACAATTCTTCATCATAGGTCATATGATGTGTACATCCACTGTCAATTAATCAACTTTTACCATTGTTGCTGGTGGCAAAACAGGTTGTTACAAATAACTGCTCTTCACCTTCTCGTTGATTAACCACTTGAGCCTAAATTTGAGACTGCTTTTTGTTCTTGCAAATTTTTACTATATGACCAAGTTGGTTGCATCTGTTGCAGCGAATGTTAGGCCTCTTCTAGCATCTGAAGTGAGGATGATTCCCCTTTCCACAGTGCTAACAAGGAGGATGATTTGGCTTCTCATCTTCTCCTTTACTACCTTTTTTAGAACTCTCTCATTGCTCAAGTTGCTTCCTTGAACCATCTTTTTCTTTCCTTTGTAGCCATGACCTTTTGTTTTTGGGCTTGCAAAACATATAACAATTCTGTCAAAATGATAATTGACAAATCTTTTGAATTTTTCAAAGAGGAAATAGAGGATTCAAACCTCTCAGGAACAGTCACAAGATTTTTTTGAACAATTCTCATATCAAGAAACTCAGTTCCAAGTAACCTCACTTTATTTACAATGCTTAGAAGTCTGTTAGAATATTCTTTCATTGTTTCTGACTCCTTCATCCGCTGCATCTCAAACTTCTTGATCAAATTCACCACTTGCATTCCTTTGACTTTCTCATTTCCTTCATACTCTAGTTTAAGAAAATCCCAGATAGCATTTGCCAATTTCAAAATCATAATTCTAGTAAAGATTGTTGGAGAAACAACAAAAAATAGGCAAGATTTTGCCTTCAATTTTTACTGTTTTCTTTCCTTATGAAACCTGATTTGAGTAAGCGTTGGATTTTGTGGTAATTGTCCAACCTCATAATCCTCCTCAACAACCTCCCAAAGGTCACTTGTATCAAGAAAAGCCTCCATTCTAATTGCCCATAGGTGATACTTCTCATCCTAAAAAGCTGGTAGTGTTATGACTAGGTTATAAGATTGCATTTTCAATTCTCAATGTAAGTGTTTAGATATTTGGTGGGACTCTCAACCTTATTAGGTCCCTCAAGAACAAATAAAGCTTTGTTTACCAAAATGTTGGAACTAAGAAATTTTAGAAGGCTATGAACTTGAAAGCTGAAACTTACATTTTTATTCATACTAACAACCTTTAAATACAAGAAAGTCATAACTTAAAATTGATTCTAATTCTACTCATTAATATGAAAATAAATCACAAATAAAATTATCTATAAATATGTAACAGCAGGAAATTAGAAGCAAGTGGGGACTGTAACAATCTGCACACATGGCAGGTGGGGCAGGGACCTGATTCTGTTAGTAAAAGAGTAAAATTAGGGGGCGAGGATTGAGGAGTCTTAGTATCACATCATTTTCCTCGTGTTTTAATATTTTGTACAAATCATTATATGATGCTAATATCAGAAGCTGGAAAAGGAACTCCTTGAGATTTATTTAATAAAATCGTGTTCTAGTTCTGCTTTCCTATTACTGAGCATGTGCAGTTTCTTTTTCTGTTCCCAATCTCATGGCTCATGACAGGTTCCCCAAGGGGATGCTGCTTCTGTATGTTTCAAGATTGGACTTGCTCACCTCGAGCTAAATCATCTTTCAGATTCATTGTCTTGCTTTAATGAAGCTTTTCTTGCATTAGCTAAGGAACAGTCTCGTGGAAGCGATATAAAAGCTCAAGCAACAATCTGTGCTCAATACAAAATAACAGTCACTCTTCTTCAGGTACTATTACTGTGCTTCAAATTCTAACAACATGGATAGGATGGCCTCTGACCTAAAATAAATTAGATAATTGGGCTTATGTTTCTCTAGGCCACAAGGTAGCATTGTCATAAAACTGTAATTACTGATTTTCCATGCTGTGAATATTTGTTGTTATTTAAGTAAGCAATCCACTGACTTCAAGATAGAAAGCATTAAAATGTTTCACATTGGCTAAGAATATGGCCAAAGTAGTTCTTACAAGTCTTGGAAATTCTCTTCCCTTAAAATAGTTTTTGAGGTTGAGTTAGGTCTGATCCATTTTTAATAGCAAGAATAAAAAAAACAATAAAAAAAAGGATACAAGAATCTCTGTCACTGCCTTTATTTGAAGAAAATGTGTTTTCCCCTTAATATGAAACCCCCAGGTTAAGGTTTTCAATTATATTTTATGGTCTAAAGTCTAAACGGCAAGAAAGAAAATAAACCATTGTCTACACTCGTAGTGAATTGAACTTCTTTTTTTGTTTTGTTTTTTTTTTTTTTTTTGTGGATGTCTTGCGGTCAATCAGACCTGGTAAATTATATGGAAATCTTTTAACAATTATGGCCAAATATTGCGCTTTGCCTCGGAAGTCTCTATTCCTTTAAAAGCTGTCTTGGTGACTGCAGGAAATTGGACGTTTGCAAAGAGTTCATGGTTCAAGTGCAATCAGTGCCAAAGATGAGATGGCTAGACTTTCACGCCATCTGGGTTCATTGCCTCTTCTCGCTAAGCACAGAATAAATTGCATTCGTACTGCCATAAAACGAAATATGGAGGTGCAAAATTATGCATATTCCAAACAAATGCTAGAACTACTATTATCTAAAGCACCTCCAAGCAAGCAGGAGGAATTTAAGAGCCTGATCGACTTGTGTGTTCAGAGGGGTTTGACTAACAAATCCATTGATCCATTGGAAGATCCTTCACAATTCTGTGCTGCCACATTAAGCAGGCTGTCAACCATTGGATACGATGTCTGTGATCTATGTGGAGCCAAATTTTCAGCTGTGACTGCACCTGGATGCATCATCTGTGGAATGGGAAGCATCAAAAGGTCAGATGCAGTCACAGGGCCAGTTCCTTCACCATTTGGTTGAGTAATCAAATGCACTCTTTTAGCGTGTGTTCCCTTGCCAAGCTGTTGTATAGAGAAATGCTACTTCGTTGTAGGAGGGTGGAGGGATATTCAACCGGAAAAAAGTTTTCCGCCGAATCTGGAAAAATCATAGTTTTCTACATTTTGTGCACACAGTTTTTGGGTTTTGTTGTGATTATTTGTGATTTTTTAGTTTCCTTCCAGGTGATGCTTTCTCTGTAATTACTTATCGCAGAATGTTTTCCAATAATTTTGTGAAATATATTAACCCTTTGTGAAGATAGAAACAAAATTGTATATAGCATGATTCTATATTTCTATTATTAAGTAATGGATTCATTTGGCGTCATAATACATCATCTCTTGGTGTAGAATCAATCTAGATTGTCAATGAAGGTTAACTGAACAATAAGATAGAAAAAAAAAAAAAAAACTGAAGATTATCAACAAATGTTATTACGCACGCACCTATAATTTGGTGAGTCCAACATGCCAAAAAAAAAATGCTGCACTACCAATTTATTTGAAGAAAATATGGTAGAACTTTTTAATATAATATTATCTTAACTATTTGAAACACCATTACACAGATTTTTTTACAAATTCTAATACAAAATGATATGTCAAGCATTTGTATTTTTAATGAGCTGACTAAAGTGTTAAGTGATGAACAGTACATCTCAAACCTAAAACTGAAGTCATAACTCATACGGCATCAATTGCACCAGCTGTGAAAGGGGCTGTTTTCCCCTTCTTTCAAGGCATTCAACTGCTTCCTTTCTCAGATCAAAGAGTAGTTGGAGCAGACCCAATCCAACAAAGATTCTAATTCCTTAGCAAGTCAAGTAAATACCAGTAACTTTGGGATTATTAACTTGTTCGATTTTGTAATGCCAACTGCTGCCTGTTAATAATCTCTCTTCGCTGCCAATTTATTTCAAATCTGGGAAAGTTAAAATAACTTTTCAATTGAAGAAATTATTTATCTTCTAGAATAGAAGCCTCAACACAATCTAGAAGATCATTATCATTTCATTCATAAGCTTTCCAAACAAAACTATGAGATACCTAAATCAGTGTCTTATATTCCATCTCATATAAACCTTGAAAGATCGGATATAACATTTAGAATACCTAAAATAACTTCAAAAAGATAAGGAAGAAGATCAGAATTCTATCCAATCTTCAACTTACTCTTCTCTCTTAATGATTCTTAAGATGTTATATCATAAATTTATTATAGATAAACAATCGTAGATAGTTTTAAGCGATCCTATATCAGCCTCAAAACATATTTTTGCATTTACAAGTAATTTTAAATGTTTTTAATTTTGAAATTAAATAATATCTTAAAGGCACTTCTAATTCTTTTCTTGGTTATCTCACCTGTAATATCTACAAGAAGAACATAAGCATGCCTAGAAAACGTATTAAAATAGTTTTGGCTGTGCCAGAGCCATCAAAAAAGATAATCAAATCGGGGTCATCCACTCCATCCACCTCGAGATCAACTCAACATATGGAGTCATCAACCCAGCATGCTAAGAATGTTTCCAAAAATGAGTCATCCACTCATAATACAATCCTTGTTGAGGCACCAACCAAGCATACAACCAAATAATCCAAATTACATTATGTTTTTCGAATCCAAACTCTAATGGCTCTTCAAGAATGTGGCCTTACCTTATCAATCTTAACACCCCTATCTAAACAATGAAAGATTACAAAACAGTTTGTAATATGCCAAAAGAAAAATAAATTTCTTCTAATAAAACATAAACTCATTATATTCCAAAGAATAAATTTTCTTCAATTATTCAAATGGAACCATAACTAAAGTCTTCCAATAGAATTCCATTTCAAACTAATAGCCATCAATAAGACTAGACAGTTTCATCGGTTTATTTTAGTAGATTCTGACCTTTTCTCTATAAAACACTACAAAGACTAAAAAGATCATTTGATAAATACTCATTCTTCAATCCAAATTATTAAAATTTTAACACCAAAAAATTTTGGAAAAAAATCTAAATAAATTGAAATTTTTTTAATTCTTTTGACCCCATCAGTTACAATTATTAAGATTATATAGATGTATGGCCAGACTTTTCTGACATCAAGATAATATTAATCGATACTCCTGATTAATTTAATTTTAAAAAATATAAATTATAATTTTTTAAACGAGTTTCTTCAATGGTAAGACTATTTTAGATCGATGGAAACAATATTTTCCTCCTGAGTAAAAGGATTTGCTCAATTCCAAAAACTATTTAATGCATATCAACGAAGAATCTCTGCTGATCTTAAGTACTTTTTATTGAGTATTTTTCTAGTAATATAGGTATGGAAAGATAGAAAATCCTAAAATACTCCTAATGTTATAAAGGCATGCATTTTGTCAAATAGTGAAATCAATTTGATGCTTCGAAGGCAAGTCAATGAGATAAAAAATTAGTTTGTATCAAATCCTCCATTTTTGAAGGCAACAAATCCAAATACATCTCTGTTTCTCGACCAAAAAGTTTAGCTAATATAGCCTTCTTGACAGGCTCCAACTCAAAAGAACACCTTGCAATAAATTTAAAAGATGTTCATTTATTGCAAAAAGTAGTAGAATCTGTAAAGAATGTCTCCAACAAAACTTTCATCTTCAAAAATCTCTTCCGACGAGTTTTACCAAAATGAAAATAATTATTTTCGTATAAATCTCAAAAAAGATTACTTATTTTAACTGTTCTTGGTCACAGTTCCTATAAACATGACCTAAACTGTAAAAATAGTATTTTCATTTCTTTAAATTCTTTAAAAGGGGGTCTCGACCCATTGTCAAGTACTCTTTCATTCACCAATCTAAGAAAGAGAATGCAGAGAGAGAAGTTTTGCTCTGAAAAAATTTTTGTAAGCTTTTCTTACTTTTAATAAAAATCTAATTCATGTGTTTTATCTCCCTCTAGCTAGTTCGGTGCAAAGTACTGTCATTCCAGTTTTCTTTTTTTTCTTCCTTCACCGGTCTTGAGCTGGTTTGCTGTCACTTTGATGTTCAATGTTTTAAAGTTTTATTTAAATTTTTGCATATATTTCTACATACATTTCTGCATGTTCATACTTTAAGTTTTTAGTAGTCTTACCACTGCTTGCTTCTCTTTTAATATTCCCTTTTGATCTTTTAACATAATCTCTTTTAGTAAATCTTAATATTCATATACTGAGCCGTATTGTAGTGAAAAAAATATTAGAAAACTTTGTGAAGTTATTTTCTCTCAAGTTCTTTTAAGAACTTTCTCCAACATATTAACGATCTCTTCCTTGTGTCATTTGTCTCTTATAGCTTAGGTTCTTATTTACATATGGTCAACTCATCATAGCTTTTTGAAGTAAATTCTAAATCTATTGTTGAGTTTTTGGGATTCTATTTTTCAAGGGCTGACATCAACCTTCAAAGAGTATCCTACCATGATAACAATAGTAATAGCAATTGCATCTCTCATTAGCTTCATTTTTTATTTTTATTTTTTTATGTTTTCTCGTTGAAACTAGAATAACATCGAAAGGCATAAAGTATTGTATTATCTTCAATCTCAGATAACATTTTTCTATAAGATTAGTTAAGGCTAGGTTAAGTTAGAATTTGGACTAAATTGAGTAGGGTTATTAAGATTTTTCTATTAACTCGAGCTAAACTAACGCGAATCAAATTTGGGTAGGATTGAAATTGGGTCATGGAGTTGATTATACTATATAATTTTAATTTTTAAAAGATATTTATAAAATATCAAAATAATATTAAAAAAGATAAATTTTCATTTTATACATTTATTTATTGTGAATACCCAGATTTTTTTTAAAAATTCTGAATTTATTTTATAAAAAAGGAATAGAAACAAAATATTTTATGAAAATTAGAATTTGCTTTAACAAATTAGAAAAATTCAGATTTGATGAAAATGAATCTTGGATAAGAAATTTGGCCTTTTCCTAATTCTAAGAGCATAAAAAACAAAGGGAGGACATCAAATGGGGGACTGGAAAAATTTTAGAGAGGGAGAGATTTTGTTGGAAAAATTTTAGAGAGGGAGAGATAGTAGAAGAGAGGAAAAACAAAAGCAAGCAAAAGGTGCAAAATTTTCAAGTAAGTTTTTATCATTAAATTTATGTATTTATTTATTTACATATTCTTCCATTGAATGAGCATTTCATATATCAACTCAATCTTATAATATTTTTTTATTTTTTTTTACAAACCGCTGCCTGCTGTCATCCTACACCGTGTGACTATCATTGCCATACCTTTGCTGGAATTTGGTTATCCACCACTATGAAGTCTCCTTCCTCTACCTTTACTTCTCTTTTTCTCTCTTCCAAACCATATCACCTACAACCACCCAATATCTACTCCTTTCTCCAACCATTTTTTCTCCTCCAAACCACCACAAGCACATCCACCACCTCTCCACCCATCATTTTTCCTATTCCTCCATCTATCATCATTCCCAAACACAAAATTTACTATTGAAGTTTCTTCTTTATTCTTCCTTTCTCTCATATTAACTTCTACCACTCAAAATTATGACCTCTATTAACCTTACATTCACCCTTTTATAGCCTCCCCCCCTTTTTTTTTAGAAAAGCATACCCCTAACCCTAAAATCCTTCCTCCCACATATTTGAAAATTTTAAATTTTGAACCTTTTTTATCTTTTTATTTATTTATTTATAGTAAGATTTTTTTATTTTTATTTTCTCTTATGATTTTTTATTTATTTAGTTTAACATACATTTTCCAGTTTTATTTATTTATTTATCATTATCATTATTTTTAGTAATATTATTATTTATTATTATAATGATTAATAATTTATTTAATGAATGTGTTCTTATTATTTATTTTTGTTATTTTTTTATGCTAGCTAGTTTAAATAAAAAGTTTTGATTTTGATTTATTTATTTATTTTAATTCTCTTGATATTATTTATTAATTTTTTTTCAAGCATTAATAAT